AGAGTGCAGGCTGGTGGTCCTGGAAATGATCTGGACGGGTTTCCTGGACTCTGCTCTCTTTTTGGCAATTCCAGGTTTCTGGTTTTCCAGACCACAAGAAAACCCTCTTAAGCTGCTAGCAGTCCAAGTGCAGAGACTGAATGAACATTAAGAACAGGGATATGCCTACATGGAGGCCAAAGATGACCACAGTGTGGTTCGAACTACTTGAGCCACTTCTAAAGTACCCAGCTCATGTACTAGCTCCCTGGCCATAGCATCATGGAGCTCAGCATGGACTAAATCACCCCACTTCTTGGCTAGACTGCTGCTGGTGCCCTGGCTGCCTAACTTAATGAAAGCATAGAGTTACCCGAGTTATGGTGCAGCATACACAGAGGGACCCTCCAAGTCGAGATTTAATGGCAAAGGGTGGGGTGTGCATGGGGCTGGGTGTGACAAACCTCTGTTCTGTGGGTGGGAGGTGTCAAGTGACCCCATTATCCATCAAGCACAATTCACTAAAAATCTAGACACATCAGGGGAAAAAAAACGGGGAACAATACTGGCCTTAATTAAAAAGACTTTAAAAAGCTGCTTAGCTTCAAAATGCTGTTATATAGAAAGGTAACTGCCTTAGCTCTGCTTCGCCTAGGTCTTCTAGTTTTATTCATGCTTCGTTGTTAAAAGCCTGGTTTGGCACCAAGCAATTCTGCTTTTACCCGGGTGCGAGTTTCAAGTGCTAATAGGAAACCCTGTTGCTTCTGGTCATTGGAGGGCAAGTTTAATGGCATTTTCAGCTGCCCTAAACAATGAGCTAGGAGGCATGCAGGTGGAAGCAGATGTGCGACCAAGGTCCGTGCTGGCGATAGACACCGTCAGCGAGGGCACCACACCTGCCCAGAACTGGACTGGCATCTTGTTTTGTCCGTTCTAAGCATTCATTGTTTCATTTCATTATCGTCTAGAAGAGGGGGAGGGTCCCAATTCTTTTCTCTGAGCCAAGTGCAACACAACACCACTCCCACACAGAGCGCACGACTAGAGTGGGCCTGAAATGCAAACTGCCCTGGCGTTGGGGCCATCCCCTTTTCAGATATGTGAGTTTTATTTCCTGCCTTGAAGAAAAGTCACATTTCAAATCACTGAAATCTTTTGCCAAATGAATTACTTTCCTCATCCAGTTCCATGCACATCACATGCACCTCTATTCGCCTTCTCCTCTGCACAACCAGCTTCATTATCTACAGCTTTTACAAAATTTACATGCAGTAACTGAATGCCACTGTAGGGCAGACACGTGAACTATCTACCACCTGTTGAAAGAGATTTCACCCTAACTCTCCTTCCCAACATCTCTCCAAAATGTATTCACAGCTCTTTGAAATGCAAGTCACACATCATTGGAATGTAATTTACCTTAAAGATAGTATTATTCAGTCTTAGGATACCTGCAGAGTCAAGATTTTCTTGTTTGGGCCATGTCTTTTCATCAAATGCACTTACAGAAACAAGCACGATACAAATACGAGAGCATTCATGGATCGAGCAAGCTTTAGTTCAAGTGCCCCCGCCACCATCTTTAAGCACAGGGATGCTGATACAGGAGACACAGTGCGGTGGCACATCAATTAGGCCAGCTTTTGGAGCCGCTGTAATTAAAGCGCCACCCCCGCACCCCTGGAGCATATGTAAAAGTGCCCAGTGATACTGGAAATCATTAGCTATTACCATATTTATTTGAATACAAGACAAAGCTTCCACTGCCCCCAATAACCATTGGGAAAAAGAGCTTTGTCCCTTGTCTTAGATTTGAGTATCTTCCAAGGCAGGTGGCCGTTCAGCTCTATCATTAGCCCCAGGCTTGGGGCCAAAGCCGGAGCTGAGCTGCAGCTTGCAGTGGCTTGTGCATCAGGCATATGCATGGGGCAGATCTGCAAAGTGTGTCTTGGGAGGGGGAAGCATGCGAGAGACTGCGCAGCCTGCCCCTATCAACCATTTGCTCCCCCTTTCCCCTCACTGATTACACTGAGCTGGAGCTGTAGTCTTAAACCAGCCAGGCCTGGAGCTGCCACCGCTGCTTCTTTCTGGCTGGGTCGCAGCTGGGGCTGCCACTGCTGCCGACTGCCCCAGAGCCAAAGCTGATGCCCAGAAAGTAAGCATCAGGAGGCAGGGGGTGGTACAGGAGGCAGGGGGAAAAAAAGTGGCAGGGGGGGAGGGGGGGGCATGGAGGACAGAGGAACAAAGGGCAGGGGTATGGCCCCTTGCCCCCTGCTGCTGCTTTGCAGGGGGGCGGGCGATGAATTTAAGATGACAGTCCAATAATTAATTAGATCCTATACATGGAAAATTATAAACAAATTAATAAATTCTCCATGTATAGAATCTTAAGGGGCGGAGGTCATCTTAAATTTGAAGTCATCTTGGATTCGGGTAAATATAATAAATTTGAAGCTCCAGGGGTAGAGATCTGAAGTCGCTTGCAGAACTTCGGATCGACTCCAGCACCGGTGTGAATCAGGGTAACTCCACAGATGTGAATGGGGGTCGGGTCACATGGGACTAAAACGTAACACACCCATTTATCTACAAATGTCTTCCATGGGGCCAAGGCCAGTTTAGTGCAGCTAGTTCTACTTGTCTAATCGTCTTCTAGTGCATAATTCGAACTTCCACATTGTTGCAGCTTCTTGCTGTTTAAAATATATGAATTTTTGGGAGAACTGAAGTGTCAAATAAAAAAGTTACAGAGATCTCTCTCTAAATTCTAGATCCTAACTTGATGCAACCAACCTCCCACCTAGCAAAAAAAAAAAGTATCAGTCTCCGCAAGACAACATTGGCCTGAATGGTTTATAAGACTAGCCTGACTACAGTAATTCCAAACAAGAATTATGATGCTGGTAATACAACACAGAAATATCTCTATACTAACCGAGCACTAATATCTCTGTGAGATTTTATTGACTGAGGTTTTTTGTGACGAAACCTAACAATTGGATGCATCCTGGAGGTGAATTAAGCTGCCAGCTCAGCACTGGTTTCTCTCCCATTAACCCACTGGTTCGTCCATCCCTCCCACTAACCTGACCTCAGCCCAGACTCCAACTAGCTTCTCAACAAACTGCGCGGGCAGTACGTTCTATACTGAATCTAAAGGATACATCCATCATACTATGAGGACATACACAAGGGCCTTTTTTAGTTTGTTTAAAAAAAAAAAAGCCGTATTGAAATGGGTACATATTTCTCTGGGGGAAAAAAATGACATTAATATGGTTGTCTCTACCTCCATGCTAGTATTGGGGTCAAGGTCATCACACTCTGATTCCTCTGAGCTGTTCGTCTCCTTGTTTGGCAGCATAGAGAGGAAGAAAGAAAATAAGAGATTAGAAGAGAGATTAGAGATGCTGGGCAGAGCAGCGCAGGACTTGTGAGCAGCATGGATGTATGTACTGATAAAGGAAATGCTTAAAAATAAAGTCGCTGAAGGCAGCCACATGCTTTTTTTGCCAAGGGAGAAAAGGCAGCAACAGTTGTTCAGCTAAAACAAAATGGCAAAGGAAGCAACAGAATGACAAGTTATGTCTGCCAAGCCGGACCAGCTCCCAGATTCTTCACTGCCATGCATCTAGTGCAGTGGTTCTGCACGCTTCAAAATAGTGCAAAATGCAGTCAGCTTGCAAATAAGGGTTCCCCCCTTCACACCCTTACCCCTTTTGTACCTCACTTGCGTGGTGTAATGTTCCAAATCGGAAAACCAAGTCCATTTGCATGCTTTCATGAGCAGAAATGCAACTGAGCAAATTATGTCATGCTGTCCCAAATCAAGGCACGGGGGTTGGTTTATAATCAAAATTGCTTGACAGCTTGCTTGTTCCCCAATGGGGCCACAAATACGTGCTGAGCAGGCTTCCTTATCTGCTCCCATTTGCTCCAAGTTTGAGAATATTAGTCATGCAAGCACAGCAGAAAATGGGCCTGGAGCCCCTGGTTCCCTGTCTGTACTGGGATGTCAACACTAACCAATCAGCCCTCCCCATTAACCAGTATAAAAAGACAAGGTTCTCAATCACCCCTCAGGTTTTCCAGCCCAGCAGCTACCTCACTGTCTTAAGATGAGAATAAAATCTTGACCCATATGAAGCCAATTACAAAACTTCTTGGAGCACAGCATGGCCAAGATTTCACCCAACGGCTTTTACCCAGGCCCTTGGCCTCCCTGGAGCTGGGGTGATAGAGCTCCAAGTTTACTCATCACCAAGGATCAAGAAATATTGGATTTCTGCCCATGTTTTGCATTTCTTCCACTGAATGTATACTTTTAATTGTATAAATATCTATAGGTAAATGAATATTACTTACTTGATTTTGGATGCCAGGAAAAAAAATTGCATTTAATCTTGCATGCAAAAGTCCTGCTAAAATGGGTACTACCAAAAAAAAAAAAAAAAAAATCAAACAAACCCAAAAATCATTGCCCCTCTCCCTCTCTGCAGAGAGGGTGCTACAGCAGGTGACAAGGATGGGAAGCAGGAGAGCAGCACGCAGCTTTGGATGACCTTACTCACTTTAACAGAGACTTTGTTGCCCAGAATATCCTTGGATTTACGTGGCCCATTGGCTTCATTTTTGCCACTGCTCTCCATTTCCGCCCGCTTTCTCATGCGCAGGGTATGCCATGAACATGACTTCCTGTTGTACCAAAAAATGCACGAATCAAACGGCAGATCATAGCAGGAAGGAAGGATGTGGAAAGGGGACCAGCGTCCACATTTGGGATTACTGAAGTTCCCTAAACGTCGAAGCAATTGGCAATGCATCTATTACAGTTTGAGCGTAGATTAAACAACACATTTTCAGAACGGTTCTACAAGCAGATGTTGTGCCCAGCTTGCTATTTTAATGCACTTAGCAGGAAAAATAATTCCCAGGATGTAAGCAGGCAACCGGTCAGTCTAAACTTCAGAACTTGTCATCGAGCTTCAGGGAGTTCAGCAAGATATATTTGTGACAAATGCCAAAAGGTCAACCCAATCTTATATCTTGTTGATTCAAGCAGTGAAACCGATGAAAGTATGATGGGAAGGGTCTACATGGATTATTTGGCAAAGCAAATATGAGATTTCAAAAAGTTCAAGGTAAAGCCCTAAATGTTGCTAAAAGCATAAAAAAAAATAGAATCTAGGTTATTTGATTTCCAAGAGATAAGTCATTTTCTGGAAATCACAAGTTTTGCTATACTTATTTGGCCTAAGAATTTCCTGTTAGTTTAACACTGTTGCATTGTCAATCTAATTGTCTAGGGTGTTAATCATGGGGTTTTGTTTTTTTTCACTAAACAGAGACTGGAATAGGCAATTGTCATTATGTAGCCACCCCCATTACTGTGCCTGAGGACTTTATCCTTGGAAAAGTCATGTCACCTTTTATTAGAGCAATGCTGTGGAGGCAATAGAAATCACATCTTGGAGCAAACATCAAATTAAGAAAAACAAAACTGCATTACATATGGTTTTAATTTAGCTTGAACAGTGCTTTTTTTCCCCCCCCTCAAAATGTTTGTCTAAAGCAGAAAGCTCTCAGAGAGCAGCAGCGTGATGAGCTGGGATCCAGGTGAAAAGCATTACGCTACATCTGCCCACCTTTAAAACATGCAAATTTGATTTGCATGGTGAAAGCCCAATGTTTGGCATATGTTGCATCTACAGTACCTTGACACATTTTACAAAGAAAGGTAGCATGTAATCCCAACGATAACCTGCAGTGCCAATAAAATGTGATATGTTAGCAAGGTAGGACTTTTCAACTCCAGAAAGAGCAGACATCCCTCCGTGAACACTCGGTTCCCATTCTAAAAGGGTCTCGCTTTGTTATATTTTGACATCAGATTACACCGATACACGAGGCTACTGGCAACTCCAGCCTAAGACTAAACTGGTTTTATGGACGAAGTGTAACCGTTCTCATACTCAGCGATAGAGTTTCCCATGCTAGAGCAACACTAATGAAGTTGCATGCACTAATGTTTGCAAAGAGGCATTGAGGCTCTGTTCAGATGAGCACCAGAAAGCTAGAATATTATGCCAACCTCTTACGCCTGCCAGGTACAATAAGCTCTGGTATAACATTCGGGCACTTTGGGGGAAGATCCTGATTGCATATGCAGGGCAGGAGCAAGTTATTCAACATATCAGAACCGTCACGAGAGTTCAGCTTAGGTTTCCTTTCCAGATATAGATAAGACAGTCAAGGGGCAGGGTTGATGAGTTCTAGACTGTCTCCAATTTTGGCCGAGAACCAGCAAGATCGCATACATAGAAGGGTGTGAACATCACACTGCAACCACTGCAGGATAGCACACATACAGATGAGTCCCCTCTTTTAAGACACATAGTATGGCAGCATGGAAAGGGCCACAGCCAACATCCACAGCAGTCAATTTTTTCTCTTTTTAAACCAGATGCATATTAAAAGAGCCAGTCCATTCAAGTAGCTGTGTTTTTTTGTAATCTGAAGAGAATGTCTGAGCATTTAAATCTCACACAGGGGAGAAGAAGAAAAAAAAAAGTAAATGAAACGTATTATCCAGTTTTATCCAATTTTCCTTGCAGAGATCACTGCAGAATAGGGCTGTACAGGGAATTCAATCTGACAGTAGTTACTGGAGATCTGGTACTGGGCTAAAGATACTGGCACATCACACCAGTGCTGGAGAAGAGTGCCCACAAGACCCTAGGTGCAAGACATGATAAATAACGCCGTGCATTCAATACAACTAGACTGAACTCTCAGTTTTGAACCTATTATTATCTCCAAGTAAACCCAATGTTATCTGGCACAATTGAAACTTTAGAAGAGATCATACGATTTCTTTAATTGGCAATTAAGGCTTTTCCATGTAAATCTACACCTTGAGGCACTCATGTGAGATAACAGTTCATAGTATCCATCATGCATTATGATCTAGTCATTTTAGATGTTAAAGAAATGAACAGGTATTACTAAAAAGGGGGTTGTACCTTCTGTATTTAATACCAAAAAGCCACTTTCTTGCATTAGTCATTTCAGACTGACAAATTTCTAAAAATCAGAAAAGAAAAAAAAAAATCCACACATTTGTTAAATAAGCAACAAAATGTTATAACAAAAAAAACCAAAAGAGGGTCAAACTAGTCCTTTTTACCTCATTAAAACATGCTCATGGTGAAAATTTATTTTACATATTTAAAATAGTACATTTAAAATTATTAGTTACATTACAGGTACAATGATGAACATTGCGACTATCCATTATATTGCACAACCTGACTTCATCAATATGAGCTTCTTTAAATAGTGCAAAATACTTTATACAGGAATGTATTTGGAAGGGGGGGAGGGGTCTTGCAAACAAAAAAAAAATATTTTACAAAAGTTACCGTGAACAGAAAAAAAAAAATCCAAAATAAAATAAAAGAAAAAATACAAGCTGTACAAAGAAATTGCCATAGACAACAAGATTCTCCTCCTTGAGAAGCAGGCCTCAGTCCAACAAGGCCTATTTTTTTTGCTAGATGCTGTTATAACCAATATATAGATTAGTAACTTAATACAACATAAATAAGTCCAGTCCAAAAGAGGTCCATGTTGGTTTAAGATGGATCAACGGAAAACATGCCTTTAAACTGTCTATGGTTTTAATTCTGTACAAAGTATAAACAAAAACCAATGAACAAAAATAACCAAAACCCAGACTATCCAACATGGATGCCCCACGCTGTGGATTGAGCATTTCAGCTTGTTCCAATGGCACTGTAGATAAAAACCAGCAGGAACTCCCTACCATTGGGGGTGTTTTGTTTTGTTTTTTGTTTTGTGTTTTTTTTTGTTTTGTGTTTTTTTTCCTCAAAAAATCCACATACTGCTCCCAGGGAAGCCAACTGGCACTTACTTGATGCTTCCGTCGGTATTATCTGTAGTGGATTTAGTGAGGGGAGCCAAGATATTTCCTGGAATCCATCCCTCAGCGGCTGGGGAGTGATCATTTGCAGGCTGGTACACCAGGAACATATTCTGCTGGTTGATGGCAAGGATCTGAACCACCTCACCCTGATTCACGCAGATCTCGTCCTCCTTCAGTGCATAGTAATCTTTGATTACCACCATGGAAGAGGTCCCATTGCACCCTCCCAGGTCATTCTGTGAAGTGGACACAATGGAAATATTTGAAGGCAGGTTTAGCGGGAGTAGGCTGGAATTCTTCTCTTTCAGTCGCAGCCATTTCCATTTTTTTAATACTTAATCTGTATGTTTATAATAGCAAAAATAAAGTATTTAAGAATTTGAAGGCATATAGAAATCCAAATACAAAGACAATTCAAGACAGAGTCCTGCTTCGTGTTATAAACCATACTGGTTTCTCTGCATTAAGATGCAAACAAGAACACCCCTGGGATAAAACCGCTGTTGCAATGGATTGGAGCAGGCGAAAAGAGCAGTGAAGGCTGATGTTTGCCGGTGAAGTGAACACTCAGCCTCTTCACAACAGATCGTACAGCGGTTTGACTTGTTCAAATGCTGCTTTGGCAAGGCCCAAAAGCTTTCACCATCTGATAATGTATTTTCATGATCAGTGGTGGCCTGTGCGAACAGTCTCAGGTCAGTTTGCACTTAAGAGTTCCTTGGGGTGTTGATGTCTTTCTCCACAACTGGCAAAACTTGTTACCAGCCTCAGAAAGGGCAAACACTAAACTACCCTTCTTAGGGATAACCTCTTCAGGACAGTATGCCAGGACCCTGCCTAAGGAAGGACGTGGAAGTTCGCACACCAGCTGTACTGTAGGGGGATTTGATATTAGTCTTCAACTATCTGAAGGGCTGTGATACACAGGATGGTGACAGACTATTTTCTGTCTGCCAGGAGCCAGGCAAAGAGTAACCATCTTATATGGCAGCAAGGCAAATTGAGGTTGAATACAAGACACACCTCTCTCGCTCCGAGGGTGGTCAGGCATTGGAACAGGCTATCTAGAGACATTGTGGCATCTCCATCCATGGAAGCTTTTAAGAGCAGGCTAGACACTAGTCTAGGATGGTCCTGCCTTCCAGCAGAGGCTTGGACTAGCTGACCTCCCGAGATGCCTTCTAGGCCTACTTTTCTATGATGCCATATAGAGCAAACTGATATAAATCAGTGAATGTGGCCTCTTTCATGAGTACTAAGTTCATTTACAACTTTGTTTTCTAAGCGTTTAAGTTGTACTGTCAAGCTCTGTCTGGGTGCTACTATTGACACTAGGTACTGCCAAGCAGAATGCCACGCTCAAGGAACTAATAAGTAGGTTTATCTTTGAACTGGACCAATTTACTGTGAGTCACCTGCGCTTGTTCAGTAGGCTGATTTCGACTGACCTGGTTAGCTGCTAATTATTGTTAAGCTTCTTGGATTGTCATGGGTACAAACAGTTGGGCTGTAACAATTGTCATCGGGTAAGTTCAGTACCTTGCTTTGTTCATATTTGTCCCCGGGCTGCTGGTGTTCATACCCTGCACTGCCATTGGAGGTAGATATCTTCAAGGGTGGGAGAGATGGGTTACGGCTTGCAGCCTTCAAAGGCTTCTCAGAGCCGACTGCAACAGAAGAATAGGGTCTGCTGTTGGGCTGAGGCACCCTGCTGGTTTGGGGCCTCATTACCGCTGAGCTATTTTCTTTGCGTTGATACTCTATAGGAGACTGCAGTGCTGCAAGAGAGGAAGAGAATTAGATGTACCACTTCTTGGAACGCCATGTACCCTAACATACAGTACAAAGGATATTAACCACTTCAAACATGCTCCTCCACTTGCTCCAATTAGACATCTTGAGATCATTTTACAGATTACTGCACGTGGTTTTAATACAAGACACCCACTACTGTTGCACTGAAGAACTGATCATCTGATTCAAGAACATGGTAAAAAATTACGCCTTCACAAAAGAAACAAGTAAATTCTTATTTGAAATTGTATATATAAAGCAACCCTCAGTGACAGATGTTGTGTGCGTGTCATGTAACTTTAACTGCTCCATATAGATCCTTTCCAGAGAATTAATATTCTGTCAAGTAGGCCAGCTAAAATGGAAAGCTGAGAGACTAGCCATGTACTTTCCCATTGCTGGGCAAAGTGTCATGGGATCGGATTAATCTGGTCAAAAAACCACAACAGAAGCTGCATTTCTCCCAAAAATGAGAAAAGAAACCCACAGTGCACAGAGACGCATCAGCAAGTGGACCAAAGCACAAAATTAAGAAGAATATTTTGGTCCAGGTCAAAACAAAAGCCTGGAAAAATTTTGGCCTGAAACAAAATGAAATGTTTTGTTCAAAACAACCCCTGATTTGATGTGCTCTGTCATGCTTCTAAAAAGGAGTTAAGAAACATCTCCTTTCTTGATTTAGGCCAACTTTTAAACAAAATGTTCTTCTGAAATTAAAAAAAAAAAAGGCCCCATATTTGGAGTCACTCCCTTGACTTCCAGGCAGTTTTTTGCAGAAAGTAATATTAGCACAGTGGCATGTTAACGTTATTACTGAAGCTTGGTAAGCTGCCCTCACTTTCAATTCCTTACTTATTTTAATGGGAAGTTCTTCAGTGCAGGGACTCTGTGTACCAAAATAAATGGGGTGTGATTTCTTATATGGCCCTTGAGTTTCTATATTTAAAATTTCTCAGTCTAAGTGGAAGGCAAGCATTGGAAAACACAACATTGAAGAGCTGAGGAAATTTGTGAGAACTGCCACAGATACCACCGAGACGTGTCCGAGTGAGGGCTCTGGATCTCCGATAACACCCAAGACCAATCCATAGCCCTGGCTGATCTACTGGATCACCTGCAGAAACCCAGCTATCCGCTTTAACAGGGGATCTGAGGGCTACCAGGACCCGAACCTGAGACTCCACTAGTCACAGTTACTCTGGAGCCAGGCAAAATTTTAATGGAAACTTCAATAAAACATAGAGCTATGTCAACATTTGGGGGTAGTCTCCATGAGCCTATAAAAGGTGGTAGAGGTGGGATGATGTGCAAACTTCCACTCCTGTGCATCCACCTCAGCCCAAAGGACAACCCAAGTTTCCTCTGCCCCCTGCACTATGCAACCCTGAATCAGGAGGAGAGATCTCTGCATGACATGATGCTGTAGGTAGCTTCCATCTATGTGAAGAATGGGAAGTCTACACATCAGGACCTTGACAAGTGATACTAAGGGATACAGCCTGGAGCCATGTCAAGACCTACTTATTGATGGACAGGCTAAACTCTAGCATTCTCCTGAAGATCGTTTCTGATCAGAGGAAGCTGATGAATAGTTTTCAGTAGAGGACAGCAACGTTTGAACGTCCTAGATCCATGTTAACTCAGATGAAGAAGAAGAGTTCATGTACCATTTAGAAAGTCTCTTTGCGTTTCCAGGACCTGATTGATGTCCTGTACCCAAGCTTGCTGGATTTCAGGATTGGCAGCCTGTAGAATCACTCGCTCGGATGTTTCCCGGTTCATGAGAGCAAACTTGCAAGGATCATTTTCCACATTGTCTTCGAGGACTAGGTAGTTCATCTGCAACAAAGCAAGTGAATTCCATTACGATGCATAAGACTCATCAGCACGTAAAAATAAGGAACAATTTCTGTACAAATTTACTTCAAACCTGTAAGCTTAATATAAGCTCATCACACAAATCACAATTAGGACAACAAAATGTCATCTGCGTTCAATACCAATCAATGACTTAGTGAAATTTAGCATTCTACAGCCAAAAGGCATATTGGGTTTAAGTCTAATGCTCCAACAGCTGTGCCGCATCTCTCAGTATTTACCTAAACTACCTGGGTTTACAGCTTCCTATAAAGCATAATGTAGCCATGGAACATAAAAAACTGTGGGACACTGCTCCTAAAGCTGAAAAAGTTTATTGCTTGCCCAAACTGAGTAATTACAGCAGCAGTTAGATCAGCATCCCTTAACCTGCCAGACAAGCTTGGTCAGAGTCACTTAAAAGTGACTGGGCAACACACAAGGATATACAAAGGGAAAAATTCACCAGGGAGGATCAATCAAATTGTTTCCATCTCTGAGGGCTCTACTACCCAAGTCTTTATTAGTTTGTGATCCCACAAATAATTGTGCTCGGCTTTGACTTTGTGGGACTTGTGTAGATTTGCAAAACATATCCTTTGCCCGAGCTGCTTCTGGAGAGGTTCACAATTCCCTGGACGCATGAAATTTGGAGGGACTTTACATGCATGTTCATTATCTGTCAGCTTGGAAGAATGGTGTTTTACCTTGCAAACTCACAAAAACGTATCAGACGGAAAGGACAGATGGGTCAGCATGTAGCCAAGATATTCCAAATATGTCTGTCCATGAATACCAAACATGCAACACCATGAACAAATTAAAGCAAGGTCATGGCATTTTCAGTCCCTGACTGTAAGAATCAACTGAGGGGAAAAAAGCCCACGCAAAACAGAGATAACCCAGCCTTTTCTTTTTTTTAAAGCAAAACAAAAAGATAGAGGGGAAGGACACCACCATCTGCATCACTCTACAGTGTTGTTTAACTGGAAAAGCATCTCATGTCCCTGGGCCAAAAAGTAGTTGTATTGACACTGGAAAAGATTTATTCCCCTGAACCTCTTTACAGTACACAAAGCAGGGGTTGTTTCCTGCAACTAAAACCACTATTGCCACACCTATACTAGCTTGGGTGGATTGATTTAAATCATGATTAACTTTGGTTATTTAAAAATCACTGATTCAAATCAATCCATTTGATCGAACGAAACCCTGATTTACATCATTTATTTTGATTTTATTCACAACGTGAGCGATTTAGTTTTATTTCAGTTAATCTAGTTAGGGTGGAGATGAGCATGGAGACGACTCCTGGTCAAGAAGCAACCAGATTGTAGGGATTTCTCTCACTCCTTACCTTTATGCTTTTCTTGAACATGTAGCCTGGTGTCAGAGAGCCCTTCCTAAGAAGCTCGCTGAAGATGACTATTTGCTCAAAGAGGAAGACCCTCCGCTCTTTTGGCCGACACTGCATTCCAGAGTCCTGCTCGGTGACGTAGAAGGTATCCTGCTGCAGCAGCTTTCCTTGAGCCGTCAGCTTGCCCTAAGAAACAAAGCAAGTGTTAACCTCGGCAGGCAAGGATAACACCACATGAGCCCAGGGATGGATCTAATGGGATTTGTGTATTTTGGACTTCCAAGCAACACTGACTTCTGAGATGCATCCCCCCAACTTAAGGAGATGTCAGGAACTCAGGACTGCTTAACAGCATTCTGCATTCCCATGGCCTCCAACTCTTCCTACACCTGTACTGGACTGACTACAAGTCTACCCAGCCAACACCAAGAAAAACCCATAAATAATGCACTGGATTTATACATGTAGCTGAACTCTAATGAGACCCCTCCCATCCAGACTTTTGGTCTTGCAGTATTTTATACATATATTAAAAATTCTATGCTAGAAATTTCAGTGCATTTTTATCCTATTAGTTTTAATGCATTGTACCATTTGGATCCTTTCCTTGGTTATTTGATTCTCCTGTGGGATCTGGGGAAGGCAAAAGCACTTCAAAAGATCAAAATGAAAGCACTTTGCATTCAGGAAAAAAACCTCTTCTTCCTAAAATTGAGCCTCAGTAGGTGGGGTCAATTTATAAAATCAAAACAATACAGTAGGAGAATTTATATTATATGTATATATTATATAGTATATATATATTATATATTGTATATGTATAAATGGGAATTTCATTCCCATTTGTATTACCATGGCACTTATGTGTCCTAACCACCCATCTCCATCAGATGTAAAACCCTGGAAAAACAAGCCCCCAGGTCCTGATCCAAGAGGCCCTCAGCCTAAAGGTACAGACTGACTAATGGAGGGAGTACCACGAAACAACGACAGGATGATTAATCATCATGTTAACCAGTGGGCACAGCTCATCAGCCATCTCATCTGATTTTTATTGGAATTATGGTTTGTGTTCTATTATTTAAGACCTGCAGGTCCTCGTTTGGTAGGTCAGACATCTTACTAGGGCAGGCAATTCATGCCCATTTGACCACTGTAGTGCAAATCACCCAGGAGTTCCCTTTGTACTTGCAGAAATCTGAATACAGATGTTCACGGGCTCTCTTCCCAGGGTACCTTGCTCAGGTGTCATAGGTTACCACACTACCCACCACAGGAATCTGGAAGTAGAAACAAACCTGCCATTTAAGCATGGGGAGCAGTAACAGGCCACAGGTGGTGAAGCAATACACCACCTGTCATGTTGTTTTGGGACTAGGGGGATACACCTCCTCTTCAACCTTGGCATCTCACAAAGGAACAACATATGCCATGTGGGGTGGGGTACTGGCTAACAAAACTGGAGAAAGTTTGGGGATTTTCCCTTGTTGTTTTTGATGACCCAAAGCTCCTTGATCACTAAAACACCGAACAAGTGTAATTGAGATACATACCTCGAAGCCCTGAAGACGGCCCAGGTTCATCATATCATTGCAACGTTTTGGTACAAGGCACATTAATTCAACTGCTTTCTGTTAAAGAAGAACTTTGAACAGTTAGGGGAAAGCCAGAGGGAGCCTTAACGGCAAAGATGCAAGTCAATGCTGCCCTGAAACAAGGACTCAATGAAACATACGTTTGGACCTAGGACTTCCACCCACGCCAGTTAAATTCTGGGGTGCCTCTACTATGCCCCATTTGCTTAAAATCCTCTAAAGCCCAGCAGCCCATAAGGCATACTTTGCCCACACTAGCCAGTATTGTAGCCAATGGCACACAAGGACCATAATAACATCCAGTCATTTTTGACATCCCAGCCTGAATGACCAGGCACCCAATTACAATTGGAGGCAGCCTATTGCACAAGCCTGATGTGAAGGTGAAAGCCTACATCTCTGAAGCCATAGCAAGATGTTTTAACCACTCTACCACGACATCCCATGCTACATCCAGCAGAGTTTAGTTTTGCTTCTGGTTTAACTTGCACGTCCCATTTCTTTTCCTCCCCGCCCAATTCTTCAATCACTGCCAAACATCAGTGGGCATTTCCTCTATTCAAAATCATACTGAATTATGCTGCAATATAGAGATGAGTTAATATATCAATATTGCCTATGTACCTCTGTCTCAGAACATTCCAGTCCAGCTTTTTCACTGTATCTCAGGAAGTCCTAAAGACAATCAAGATAGTTTGCATTAGAAAGTTTTAGGAAAGCGATTACTCCACAAAAAGTGAACATCAGAATGTAACTCCACAGAAAGTGAAAAAAATACTTTGATAGCACTTTATTTCTGAGGATACCAGAGAAACTTATTTATCCGACCACACAAGCAAGTTTTGATTAACTGATTTAATATTACTGTTATACCCTTCCTATAGATGGGGAAAATAGTACCTAAGGTCAACTGACTGGTTGAAATTTGTGTATTGAAACAGACTGAATTGGTACTCGTACGTGGGAAAGCTGCCTTAGTCTCTTATTTTAAGCCACAAGATGACACATGTGTAGATACCATTTGGAGACTGTGTAGACCAGGGGTGGGCAATTATTTCGGGCAGAGGGCCGCTTACTGAGTTTTGGCAAGCCATCGAGGGCCACATGCCAGGCAGCCAGGAGCAGATATATATTAATTTTCTAAATTTTTTATAGGCTCCGTGTGCCGGAAAGAATGACCTGGCGGGCTGCATCCTGCCCGCGGGCTGCATCTTGCCCACTTCTGGTGTAGACTAACACAATCATCTTTGGAACTACCAATTTTTCATGGCAATCAATAAAAATGCAGGCAGATGTCAGTCTGAGACTTTAGTTCAAATGAGGAAAAACAACAAGAATCCCAGTACCGTTGGTGATTACAGCCCAAATTCTAGAAGTGTCTAATTTGGGGCATTCAACTTGATACCTTGCCAAGACTGGATTTTCAGGAGTGCTTTGAAACAGTTGAAGTTGTGGCCAAGTCACCTATGGGGGTCCTAATCTTGGAGCGGGCAGGGGGAAAGAAAAATAAGACAGGTTTCCAAGATGACATCCGAAACTACATACACTGGACAAGTTAGACTTTAGTTTCTCGTTCTGGGACACAGGACATCAATATTTGAAAGTTCAGTACACAACACCTGGACCCTACTTCCACCTCCTACCCCACCGCTGCTACTTTGTTTTAGCAACAGCTGGAGGTCTGTTTCAGTTAGAGCCGACTCGAGCACTGGGAAGTTTCCCTCTGGGTTGTTCATGGAAAAAGCACTCTCATTTGAAACTTATTCAATAGGAAGTTTGAAAAAAATAAATTAAGGAGGGGAAAAATCCAATTCTCCACCATACAATTGTTTTCTTCAGTTTTTGCTAGGGTTATTTTCTCCTCCAAGAAAAATCAGTAATGAGCTGGGGCACCTGCCCAAAATGCTTAATTAAAAAGTTACAGAAATAGTAGATGATTTCAGTTTTCCTTTTGAGAAAGATTAACTCAAAATGAGATTTTTCTGTAGAAGTTGTCTAATTCCCCCAATATTTTTCAATTAAAAAGAGAAAAAAAGACGTATTGAAATTTTGATTGGTTCCAATTCCAGTGCAATCATGCAGACCAGGAATACACTTGCTTACACAACTTATTTTTTCTGTCACGATATATCAAAGCATCTGAAACCGACCAGGCTCCGATTACTCCAGCTTTATCTTGAGTATCGATTTCTATTACCTTGAGTAGAAGCTGGTATTTTGTTATTCTCTGGATGGGTTTGATCAAAAAGTCACTGAGGGTTAACCGCTGGTTTATTTCTTGCTGAAGCTCCTGAAAAAACATTGATAATTGAGGCCATTAAAAACTGTGATTGCAACAAAATACAGAATAAGACGTAAGAAGAACTATTCCATGAAGAAAGGCAGGATGCAATCAAGTGTGTCAAGTGACATTTGTTTCGGTTTAAGATCGCTCTCTTTAGTCTTCTCTTTATCTTTCAAGAAAATATTTTAGAAGTCTATGATTTAAGACTCTGACAGTGTCACATTTTGGCAAGCATCTTCTCCTGGTTGAAAGCTGGCATAAACCCTGAGACTCTTGCTTCCAGCTGGAGTTACAGCTAAGGAGTCTGCCCTTCAGGCTTCAGTGGGGTCAGGGTCAAACAGAAAGCCTTAAATGTATGATACGATATAATGACCTGTACCCTTTATTAAAATGAAGCACTTGCCCTTTGTTGAAACCAGCTTCCTGCATCTGTGCGCACACACTATTTATATACACACACATGTACACACACACACACCAGATATATAGATACATATCATATATAGACGAGTCAGTTCCCAAAGACTTCCACAGAAGTAGGTTCTCAATATCAATATTTAAGACTCAACAATTGCCAATAGTTGCCGGACAGAATAATACTTTCCAAATAACAATCAATCATGCCCTATCAAAACCCTCAACTTTCCTCCCCGCAGACGAAAGGCTGGAAAGACTACTTCAGACCAAAGAGGTTTGGCAAAAGGAAATATTGTTGAAAGTCAGCAGCCGAACCAATAGCTAGAAATTAATGGAATAAGAATTTGAGATAGATTTAAGAACCATTCCTGGACACAAGAGAGAAGAGATAGAGTCAAAATAAATGAATGCTTGGTTTAGCCTAAACCATAGTTTGTCAGCTAACCCTCCAATTAAATTAGACACTACACATTTAAAAAGCACAGCATCTAGCACACGCGGTCAGGCTTACCTCAAAATATGCATCATATTCAGCTACTACGTATTCTGATCGTGGCTTGTTTTGGCAATACACCACATACATGTGCAATCGTCTTTCCTGTGAAGGCAAAAAGCACGCCAGTCTGGTCACGTATTTAAGATAAAAAGCCTGCAGTAGCCAGTGAGTAGGCTAGGAAGAAGCGCGAAAACTGCTCTGCTTGGATTTGTCAATGCACTGATTTTCTAAAAGCATCTTGGACTTGATTCTCCAGTCCCTTGAACTTTGCATGCACATTTCCACCTAAGAACAAGAGTATCTTATAAAAAGCATACATCTATCTTTAAGCCCTGCTTTTACAGGCATAAGGTACCAGAACAATGCCAGATGCACAGCAATGGGGAACTGGGATTGGTCCATCTGACCCAATCTATCAATTTCCTTTGCTAAAAGGAAACGAGACAAAATGTGTTGCCCCTCCCCTATGAAAACGTCAACACAAATAGACTTATGCTTCAAGCATCCATCCCCTCAAACAGCTTTCCTCTGAACAGTCCCACTGAGTTCAATAGCGCAAGTCAAGTGCATAGATGTTTGCCAGATGGAAGACTGAAAACAATGGACTGAACCTTCAACCAGGAGAAATTCAGCACGGCTGGTATGTATTTTCAGTGCAACCAAGGCTCTGGCATAGTCCCTTGATATAACTTCATGAGCCACCTGGAGTAAAAATGTCTAGGAAACTGTACCAAACCAGCACTATACCCATGTTACATAGATGATATTTTCATAATCCTGAACTGAACACATGGACTCATTGACATCTACCACAGGTTTAACATCATCACCCTTCAAATCCAACTCTCTCTGGAATACTCCTAAACCGACACCGAATTCCTAGATACCACAATCTATATCCAACATGGCACCCTACAAACCACCATATACAAAACCCTCCCCTCCAAAAAACAACTCATGGACCACCAAACTTAAGCCCAAAAGATCAGCAATCATGCCAAGCACATCAAAAAAGAGCTGTAATCTACAGTCAGGCCCTTAGATACCACTGCATCTGCTCAGAGGATAACACTTGTAAGCCTAAAATCTTCCCTTATACAACAAGGACATTCTAGTACAATCTATTTCTTTACATGTGAAAGAGCTATCCAAATACCCCACATTAACCTGCTATAATATAAAAAGAAACCACACACCCCTGGTGGTCACCTACCACCCCATACTGGAACTAATCAGAAGAATCAAACAACTACAGTCAACACTCAAAGATCAGACCTGGAGACAAATATTTCCAGATCCTTTGCTCCTGGCTTTCAAACTATCCTCTAACCCTGCCAAGCTCAGAAGCAAACTCCCCAGTAGACATCAAGTGGGACACAGCCTTGCCTTAGCAAGAAACAGTTAACCTCAAAACATCTCCACTGCTACTACAACCCACACCTCCTCATAATGAAAACATCAGAATCGGTGGTTCCTACACATGCCTTTCCCAAAGCGTGATATACCCAATCCAATGCACCAGATGCTGCAAGAGCAACTATGTGGGTGAAATTAAACAAATTATATATATGTGACATTAAACACACATACACACACATATAGATATAGGCTATAGATATAGCCTATAGACAAGGCTATCTATATCTAGATATAGATATCTATATATCTATATATATAGTGTGTGCGTGTGTTTAATTTCACCCACATAGCTTCGTAGTTGGTAGGGTCAGAAGGGACCTGAGCAGATCATCAAGTCCGACCCCCTGCCCTGGGCAGGAAAGAGTACTGGGGTCAAACAACCCCAGCAAGGTGTTCATCCAGCCTCCTCTTAAAGACCCCCAGGGTAGGAGCCAGCACCACTTCCCTTGGAAGTTGGTTCCAGGTCCTAGCCGCCCTGACAGTGAAGTAGCGCCTCCTGATGTCTAGTCTGAATCTACCCTCTGCCAGCTTGTGACTGTTATTTCTAGTCACTCCTGGTAGCACTCGGGGGAACAGGGACTCCCCCAATGGCTGCTGGTCCCCCTTGACTAGTTTGTAAATGGCCATTAGATCCCCCCTCAGCCTTCTCTTGTGGAGGCTGAACAGGTTCAGGTCCCATAGCCTCGCCTCATAGGGCCTGTCCTGCTGCCCCCTGATCATGCGAGTGGCTCTCCTTTGGACCCTCTCCATAATGGCCACGTCCCTCCTGAAGTGAGGCGCCCAGAACTGGACACAGTACTCCAGCTGCAGCCTGACCAGTGTTGCACAGAGGGAGAGGATCACCTCCTTGGACCTGCCTGAGATGCATCTGTGAATGCATGACAAGGTATGGTTGGCCTTCCTGACCATGTCCCCGCACTGTCGGTCCATGTTCATTTTGGCATCAATAATGACTCCAAGATCCTTTTCTGCCCCCGCACTGACGAGAAGGGAGTTCCCCAGCCTGTAGGTACGCTGCTGGTTCTTCCTCCCCAGGTGCAGCACCTTGCACTTGTCAGTGTTGAACCCCATCCTGTTCTCATCTGCCCACCCCTGTAACCTGTCTAGGTCCGATTGCAGCCTATTCCTCCCTTCTAGCGTGCCCACTTCCCCCCACATCTTAGTGTCGTCTGCGAATTTGAACAGGGTGCTTTTTACTCCCTCGTCCCAGTCACTGATAAAGATGTTGAACAGCGCAGGCCCAAGAACCGAGCCCTGGGGGACCCCACTGCCCACATCCCTCCAGGTCAAATAAGACCCGTCCACCACCACTCTCTGGGTGCAGCCCTCCAGCCCGTTAGTGACCCATTTGACTGTGTAGGTGTCGACGCCACAGTCCCCTAGTTTTTTAATGAGAATAGGGTGAGAGACAGTGTCGGAGGCTTTCCTAAAGTCCAGAAAGACTACGTCCACTGCTACCCCTGCGTCTAAGGATTTTGTAACCTGGTCATAAAAGGCCACCAGGTTGGTCTGACAGGACCTGCCTCTAATGAACCCACATAGTTGCCCTTGCAGCATCTGATGCATTGGATCTATATATAGATAGATTGCACCAGAATGAACTCTTACAGGAAAAATGAAAGACAGACACAAATACACCATTAGGAGCACATTTGTCACAGAACAACCATTTCCTGTGACCTCGCTATCCTCATGCTCAAGGGAAGTCTACCTACAAACTTTCAAAGACAACCCTGGGAAAATTCATAAGCTGGCTGGACACTACAAACCATGGACTTAACACTGATATTGATTTAATGGCACATTATAAAACCTACCGATTCCTAAACTCTTCCCACACATGAAAGCCCTCCTCCCTTTTGATAGGCCTTTATCTCCCAGTAATCAGCTTCCTTTCTTCCACTAATTGTGTCTGCTACTTCTGGGAATTTCTCTCTTCCCTCTTCCAAATGTCCTTTACTACTATGCTGCTCTGGCTTTAATGCCTCAGACCCAAAGAAGAGTGTCTTGCATTTGAGAGATTGCCTAACTAGCCTAACTACACAGCTGGTCCAATAAAAACTATCTTGCCCTATGAAATCCTTGCCGAATACTATTCTAAAAAGTAGTTCTAAATTAAGACACATGATAACTTTCTGGAAAGGCTAGATGGATATGAGATTTTGGCCGTCACTGAAGAAGTCCTTGCCATTGCTCCATCTGCCCTGACCAGCCCTGGTCCCTGTATAAGTTCTCCGATACTCCCAGCCTCTCCTCTGCTGCCAGGAGGGAACCTAGAGTAGAAAAACTCTTCGCCCTTTCTTTCAGGCTCAGGTAGCAACTTCTGAGGTTTTAACCAAAGAAGCAGAAGAGATCTTTCACCCTTCCCTCCTGCCAACAACAGGGACAAGAGAAGCCTCCTCCTATTTCCAACCTTTGGACCCGATGATCTCACGAGGTCCCTTCCAGTCCTAATGTCTACGAACCCAGCCCGCTGTGTGAGAATGGCATGTGGTTACTGAAAGGAGGAGGAGAGGCTCTACCTGCTCTGTTTTGCTGCTCTTCCTCACAAAGTGGACAAATGAGGCAAAAAAATAAATCAGAAGAGGATTCCCCTACTCCGCCAGCGCTGAAATTTGCTAGGAGGCTGGAGTTTCCCATTGGGAGTCTAGCTCCAACCCCAACTCAAAGCCTCTTGACAGTGACTCTGATAGTGTAAAGATGATTTAGCATCTATCCATAGGCAATGGAGTGTCATCTTTTGTTCAACCCCCCCCTCCCCACACTCCCCTCCCCCCAAAAAACAGCCAACAACCCCAAAACCCACAATTTTAAAACAGATTTTTACATTGTAGGGCATTTCAATAGCTACAACAAAATAACTCTAGGACTTTTTGATATCTAGATTAACATTTAACACACATGAGAATAGCAAGTCAGCGCAAATCAGACAACATGGGGAAAGAGGCTTTGCCAAAGACGATGACTGTGGGACACAGGAGACAACTCACATGTTTTATAAAGAGCTGCGCTAAGCGGTCAGGTTCCTGAAGACACTTTTCCAGTTCAGCCAGGAAAAAGCTAAAATTAAAGAAGAGGAATAACTCAGAAAGTCTCCCCATGCCACACTTGTCTTTCCTACCCCGAATTATCCAGCCTACCTAAAAAAAAGTCAATATTAAAATTAATTGAGAGGGGAGCGGGGGAAAGGACCGGCTTTTTCCTTTAATGGCAGCGTGCTGTATGCATTTAAGATGGTGTAGTGCAAGAGGTCTGTTCTTCGATATGACGTATTCAATTGTGAGTGTGCTGGTTTTCATTTCAGCTGGTTAACCTCCCCCGCAAAAAAACCCAAATGGAAAACAATGCAAAAGCAGGGTGTTTTCAGCTGAAGACTCCTCATCCAATAGCCAAAGAGGAGCGTGAAAACATCAGGCTTCACCAACCTTTTCCGTTGGTCAACAGAGAGACAGAGAAAAAGTCTTGACCAAATTAAAATTACTTTTCTGCCACACTTGTCAATTTAGTTTAAAGAAAACAAGCTTTTAATTGAAAGTCTTTCAGAAAAGTGATAACGAGGGCAGGTTGATCAATGAGGCTGTTAGCGAATTTACAAAACACTGTCTAGCCTAGACCAGACGCCTTGAAGATCTATGGTTTAAAAACTTCTAGGAATTGGTTTACGTGCCTAAAAGTAAGGCAGAAACACTTCAACAAAACTTTTAGAAACCTTTTGACCATCACCCTAAAGAGAAACAGGACCCTTTTTTCATCGTCTTCCTCTCTGGAATCGAGGGATTTCTAGGTGGACTGCCTCCATCTACAGCCTGGGCTTTTGCTAGCAGAACTGCAGAGGTTGAAGATGTGATTTCTTTTTCACCAAGGGCCCAGAAAGGTTCTCAGAGCTGGGAAAAATTTTAAGGTGCCCCCTTCTGGGGGTGCTCCCTGTGCATCAGTGTTACAGCCCCTAGGAAATAAATGGTTTTTCCTTGCCCCCTATGCTGACACACCTGCTTTTCATTCCCTCAGACATAGCTCTGCTGGGAAAATTTAAGCCTAGGCCAGTGATCCTCAACCAGGGTGCCAGGGCATTGTGGGTGCTACCAGATCCTTCACAAGCTATGAAGAGATAAAGAAGTTACATTGGTGATGCGTAGGGGTGTACGTGGGTGCAAGTGCACCCCCTGAGATCGGCCGTGCACCCCCTGAAAGCGTCAGCTGCAAAACTGGAAGTGCAGTTCTGGTTTCGCTGCTGGCTTGGCAGTCGGCCGCTGGGGGACCCCCCGTTGGTGATCTGGTGTCCCCCCAGATTCGGGAGGCACCAGTCGCCCATGGCAAGTTGTGAAGGAGATGAGCTGATAAGCTAAGTAGATAAACACAGGCTCAGACGTATCCCTGCCACTGACCCTTCCCCACCCAGTGCCCAGCCCTGCCACGAGGAGGCAAGCACTGGAATACATAACTTAGTTTTTGAAGTAGGGGTACAGACAGAAGTGACAATTCTTGCCTGATCTGGGCACAGGAAGCGGGCAGAGAAAGTGGTCCACAGCCATGACCGAACAAGTGCATGGCCACAGACTGCTTAAAAAAAAAAAAGTGACCGCTCGGGTGTCAATCTGACCCCGCATTGCAGGAGGATTTAGATGAAGACGTTTCAAAACGTAGCATCTTCTATAACTTGTGTCTGCCAGACTGTCACTGTTTCAGAACGGGAGTGGGGAGGGAGTGGAGGGAGGTGAATCTGGGGGGGTTTCAGCCCCCGCTGGAGGGTGGGGCAGGTATACTGGAGCCACTGTGGGGTGGGGACCCACCGCACCCTCCAGCCCCAGCTGAGAAACCCCTCGAACGAGCTCCCTCTGCTCCTTTTCCCCCCCTCCCGTTCTGGAAGCAGCGGGGGGTTGGTGGGGAGGAGGAGCCATTGGTAGGAGAAACCGGGTGCGGGGCAGCCAGCGTCTAAACTCCCCATCCCCCTGGAACCAACAGTGAACTTGTGTTTGCTCCACGGGATCGCTGTCACGCAGACCGCTTCCTGCAAAGCGTTCTCACTTACAGAAAAGTTATTTTCAGTCCAATGAGGGGGTGTTCTGAGTCTAGAAAGGTTGAGAACCACTGGCCTATGCACTAAACACCATTAGGACCACATGGTGAACAAGCATGCTGCAAGTACTCAGCAGAGAAGCAGACAGAAAGCTTATCTTGGCATGAATTGCTCAAGTTTACACTTTTGCTCTAATTCAACACATGAGTATGGAAGTTTATAAATGCAAATGGACTACTGCCAAGACAAAAAGCCACCTTCCAGATCTGAGCTCAGTGACCAGATATGGACATTTGGAGAATTCTATTATAACAAAACATTCATAGGATTACAAATTAAATCAGAAAAGTATCAGCAGCCATCCTAATCTAGTTGCTTATGTGCGTATTTCTAACCAGGGCCTCTACTGTGTTGTTAAAAGCACTCTGTGCAGAATCAGACAGAAGTCTGTCTGAAGACACTATTCTATTCTAATTAAATCTTCTGTTCAAGGTATCTGATATTGCAAATTGATCATTTAGATGAAGAGAAAGGGGAGGGTCAGCCTGCCAGCCCAGGGCTGGTGCCCCCGGTTCAACATGCCACAGAGGGGCTTGCCTGGGACACAAGGGTACTTCAGCACGGGGCTAGCTGGCAGACAGCCCTGCACTTGTGGCCCAGCCAGCCGGAGTAGTGTCTACAAGTGTGCTGCTGCTGGTTAAAAAAAAAAACTCTGCAGCAGGGTAGTACTTGTATTTACAAGCACTTCCCTGCTGTGGAGTTAATTATTTTACTCCAGCCTAATAGGGGTGCACGTGTAGATGCACAAGGTTTACTGTGGAGCTAATTAGTCAACTCTGCAGTAAACGGCTTGTGTAGATGTGCCCACTGAGACCAGTGGAAGCAGAGGTTAAACAGAAGCACCTCTGAATAATCGGACTATTGTTATTTAGTTACCACACCTTGGAAATTTTGGCCTGAAAGTTGTCCACGATGAATTTGAAGTAACCCAAGTGTAAAAGCATGGATAGAAGCCAAGCACCACAATTCTCATTTTATTTCTTTCCTTTAATAAAGTACAATTATCAAAGATGCTTTAAAAAGACTTACTCTTTGTGCCAGTCATAAATCTGGTGGATATTGCCAAACACAATTTTGTCTTTCCCTTTCATGTCTTCAGGAACCCCTTTTTCTTCTATTCTCTTCATGAAGCCCTTTAGTGCAAGAGAGATCAGCAATTAGCAAATGGACCAATTGAAGAGGGAGAACAATTAGGCTCATTTTTTTTTCTGAGCAAGTACAAGTTACGTGTCACAATACATAGGATTTCTTGCCTTAGAAGAAAAGCAGGAGTTTATAAATGCCTTTTAACACAAATTCAAAGCAAGATACTGGTCCTCGCTATTTTAAAAATTATACGGCTTGCTTAAAAGCAAGCTATACGAGGATTTCTTCTGCAGCTGTACAATGGTTAACTAAGCCTTTATTAAATGTCACTAAAGAGACAAGTGCAATTAGAAGAAAGTTAAATAAAGAGGTAGTTTGTTGAGTTTTTGGATTCCCAGAGAAGCACAAGATGACAAACTCTGAACAGATAATTTTTTCTTCCATTTATGAAAGAATGTATTTTGGGAGCACAAAACCATACGGCAAATCCACATAAGTAGGATTTCTCATGCCTCCTGAGCATTACGTTAGGAGTCTTTGGAGCTTTGCAGCTCCATCAGTTTACATTTGTATCATATTTCACTAGTATGACAACACACAAGTGGAAAGCTTTTGAAAGCAACTACTGTGTGGAAGGGAGAACAGCCACTGAGTTGATAAACTGACAAACCGTAAAAAAACCCATTCACATAGGCAGCTAGTTTTGGTACCCCCCCCCCACCCCTTTTTTGGATCCCCCATTTTGCAACAACTAGAATTTAGTACACCGACTGCCTCAAAGTGAAGAGCTAAGCGTCCGGTTGGGGGCCCAAAGCCTCCAAGAATTAGTGGATAATTCTGCAAATATCAGACACTATTTCTTTTATCCCAAATAAAAAAAACAACAAAAGACAAAAAAAAACCTCTTGATAGGCCATGAAGCTTGGGTGTAGGTACCAGATTTTGGAGGTATTAAAAATGCCAGAGTCTGGTTTGTGCCATGCTGAATTATGTTGATGTTATTAGTAGTCAGTTCATTTTTCGAGGAGGATGGGAACCAATGCACTAAGCAGCATCTCTGCAGAAAAGGACCTGGGGGTTACAGTGGACAATAAACTGAATAGGAGCCAGCAGTGTGCCCTTGCTGCCAGGAAGGTCAATGGCATGCTGGGCTGCATTAGTAGGAGTGTTGCCAGAAGATCAAGGGAAGTGATTATTCCCCTTTATTCAGCCCTGGTGAGGCCACATCTGGAGTAGTGTCCAGTTTTGGGACCCCCACTACAGAAAGGATGTGGACAAGTTGGAGAGAGGACAGTGGAGGACAACAGTAATGGTTCATGGGGCTGGGGCACATGACTTATGAGAAGAGAAGAGGCTGAGGGAACTGGGCTTATTGTCTCTGGAGAAGACAGAGAGGATTTAATAGCAGCTTTCACCTACCTAAAGGGTTGTTACAAAGGGGATGGAGCTAGACTATTCTCAGTGATGACAGAACAAGCAGCAATGGGCTCAAGTTGCAGCAAAGGAAATGTAGGTTAGATATCAGGGGGGAAAAAACCTCTTACCAGGAGGGTAGTGAAGCACTAGAACAGGTTACCCAGAGAGTCTCCATTCTTGGAGGTTTTGAAGACCCGGCTAGACAAAGCCTTGGCTGGGGATGATCTAGTTGGGGATGATCCTGCTTTAAGCAGGGGTTGGACTAGAGGCGACCTCCTGAGGTCCCTTCCAACCCTAATTTCCTACAATTTCTACGATCTCTGTATAATAGTAAAAAGGTGATCTATTCTCTATCACAGTCTTGAAGACTGTACTACAGTCAGAAAGGTCTCAATCACAACCCAGCTGAAGCAACACATTTGAGTTAAAACCTAACATTTGCTTTTATTAGACCAACTTAAATAATAAATGATATCTGTTTCACCCAAAGAACCTTGTCTGCCTATGTCTTTAGACCAACACGGCTACAGCCTACACCCCTGTAACCTGACATTTAGTAATATTTGCAGTTGGCTTCAACAGGTTCCAGAGTTATTAGCAGCAACCCCACAGCTTGGATTTAGGAAGCTGCATACCAGACAAGACAGGAAAATGGCTTTAAACGCACATTTTTAAATAGGTGCGCTCCAGGAGCCCACTGTTGATTCTGATGGAAAATCACCACTTCATTCTAGTGAGCAATTACAGATTGTAGGACCATTTCAACTCACCTCTACCACAGTTCCCAAATCTTTGACATAGTCTTTCTCAGTCTGTACCAGCTCATTTAAGACGAACCTAAATAAAATAAATAAGGTTTATAGTCAGGATTCTCAAAATACGTTTCCTCTTCTCCACCATACACCATATTCTTACTAGAAATTAAAAAAAAAATCCTCCATCCAGTTCACATGAAATGTTTCTCTCAACTTTATGGCTCAATTGTTGCTGTTAGATGAAACAATCCAGGTCAGCATATTTCTTAGCTATGGCAGAGACGACATCTTGAATCCTCTTTCCTGATTTTTTTTTCTACGCTGGATTACATGGAATTATATTCCTACCACAAAAAACTCATATCCCTCGTACGTCTACTCTTCATTTGCTACGTCCTGTATTTGCCATAGCAATCACCACAGATCTTGTGCACAATCTGTGGTCTTGTCTCAAGCATGAAAAATTTTGCTCCCCAGCATTTATAAGCCCCTTCCTCTACTCCAGTTTGCTCCAGACGACAGCAAATAAGTTTTATTTCTTGAGGTTCAACCTCAGGGCAGTGAATCCTATTTCTTTACTAAAGCAGTCAATTCTTTATGGTAAATAATGCAAATAAGAGTCCAAGGTATCCTTATTTCAAAGCTAGCTCTGGGTAGAATAGTTATCTAATGCACCTCCGATGCACACAAACGAGGCCAGGCTAAAAACCAATGTTAACTAAACTGATAAATCATATGATGTTCTTTAGACGGACAATTTCAAGACTTACGCTTTGCCACAAACTCCCCCCCCCGTTACAGCAATACCAGTATTTGTCACTTTGTGAACTGAATTCCACCCAGGCCTCAACTCAATAATGCAGCGATGGGGCTAACAAAACAGGGGGATGGCTTTCTTGCATGGGTTTACTTTCCATACATCCATCGAGTGTCCCACTTCAAGAGAAAGGGACAAAAGTTGACTATTACCAGGGCTCGAGTAAAGGTCCCTACAAGGAGGACCTACTGTATGAAGAGGAAGCTTGAGCAATGTGGACTAAGGGGAATTCTGATGTTAGGCCACAGCTGTCCACTTGCAAACACGTACACATGCCCCACTGAAACTGGGCCATGAACCAAAGGGGTGGGAGGAAAATCTCAGGCAGACTAACAGGCGGCATCCTGTGCAGTGGCAAGATACAGAGAGACCTTGCTTAGTCGAGACAAAAATAAAAGCAGCCATATGCTGTTTTACATAGAAAAGCACCTTTTCTCCCAGAGAACTTCACGGACTACCTATGAAACATTAGCGCATCTTGCTAAATTACAGGGGTGTAGGTTGTAGCCGTGTTGGTCCAAGGACATAGGCAGACAAGGCTCTTTGGGTGAATCTGGTATCTTTTATTAGACCGACTTAAATAGTTGGAAACATTTTTCTTAGCAAGCTTTTGGGCTTAAAAATCCTTTGTCATGCTAAATTAGGCATTCTGATCCCACAGGAATAGCTGAGGGTCTGCACACTCAGTCCAGAGAGGCTGGATAACTTCACAATTCTCCTTAGTCCACATAGTTCACGTTTCCTCTTCATACAGCGGGTCTCTCTTTGTAGGTATTTTTATTCAAGTGCTGATAACAGTCAACTTTTGTCCCTTTCTCTTGAAGTGGGACACTCGATGGATGTATGGAAAGTGAACCCATACAAGAAAGCCGTCCCCCTGTTTTGTTAACCCCATCACTGCATTATTGAGTGGAGGCCTGGGTGGAATTTAGGATGAGCGTGCCATACACGCTGTTGTCACACTATTGCCACAGTGTGACAATAGTGTGTACAACACACTCTCATCCTTTGTTTAGGCAGGACACACAGTACACAAAGGTCCCCATCGTGGAGATGTCATACAGCTTCTTGTTCATCTAAGAGCTAAACTCACCCCCTTGGGTAGGAGCTATTGAGTGCCACTGGAAATGCCAGCTGCTCTAGGAAACATCCTGCCAAGTTGTGTGCATGGGTGGCAGGCACGTGGGGCAAATCGCTGCTCACGAGCCCCTGGCAAGCATATGCTGCAGACTGTCTCCTGGCCCTACCTGCCATTCTTTGCCAAAAGGTGCGCTGACTCTTTCACGCACTGATGTACCAGCAACAGTACCAGGTAGGACTCCTGCCCTGAAAACTGGCTCTTGAAGAGAAAGGACCTTTCTGCTCTCTCCCCTCACCATCACGTTAGTCAACACAAAGCAGGGATTTTGTCTCCTGCGTCCACATGATCAAAAATACCAGATACCAATAATCTGTGAATCACTAGAGCACTGAAAAGATGCTCTCTCCAGAAGCGCGGCAGCGACTCCGTAATGAGGGCCAGGCTCGTATCAGTGAGGCTTCACAACAAAAGTAAAAATCATGACCTTTTACTTGTGCTTCAGGAAGCTGGTTTGGCACCTGCACCGACTACTTTACTTTCAGGCACCTCGTTTCGAGACCATCAAGGCTTCGCGCTCCATATATAGGAACAGAAAGTCTGAGCACCTCTTGATATTTTGACATTCATTTCTTAACCATGTATGAAGACAAGTCCTTCTGCAATTACTTTTTAAAAATTCCTTCTTTGAAAGGGGTTGCTGCCAGAGAACAAGTTCCCTTGCCCATTTTTCCGATACTGTAGATTAGGAAAAAAGGAAGTCATTTACAAAAAAAGTACCTGCATTCCCAACAACAGCCTGGTACTGCATATGCATTATTCTAATATAGACGTGCTTTCTTCTACCTGGGTGTGGGAGTGAATAAGGAAGAGGGAAGAAGGACAGCCTTCTCACTTCTAAATAAACCTGAGTACTTAATACTGGTGCATCATGATAACCCCTTACATTTACTCATCGAATGGTATTCCCAAGGACTACTGCTTTATTCTGGTAGAAATACTGTAGCCAAGCCTGTTCCTAGAGCTGTTTCTCCCCCCAAAGAAATTAAACAGAAAAGTGCACAAATTGAAAGGCACACAGGCAATTATCACCTCTGAATGCGTCTTTGCAAGGGTTCACTTGCAACTTGCTTGGAAATGAGGGTCATAGCTTGAGTCTGGATCTCAGTTACCTAATATGGACATGGAATTAAACAAAGCTAGGAGCACCAGCCGTGAAACACAGAAATAAAATAACTAAAGATGACAGGCCGCCTTGTTCTGAAAGCTACTAGCAGGTGTTCCCAAACATCCTAGAATTAAAGACATTATTTATACGGACAGTCATGAAATATATGTAGCTCGCTGCTGCCAGAGCTCTTGAACTGCTGAAAGTTATGGTATATAGTTATTAGCACTGTGGCAAGCTCTGCAGTAGCAAAAGGCTAGAATTACAACCGGTAGTGGTCGACTGGTAATGTATTAGTCAAACAGACACTGAAAGAGGCATTTGCAGTGTGATCGAGATCCTAAGTGACAGAGATCCATCCCAGTAGAGGAGTTCTTCAGATGCGCAGAGCACTGCTCTCGTCTAACACAAGAATCTGCAAAAAATCACCCGTCTTGTTTAAGCACAACATCCTGTCCTTTACCCAGTTGCTTCTCTAGCTTCCCGAGACAAAAACTCAAAGAGGCCTGTACTGACTTGCAGAGCCCCAGGCCATTTTACTCCCACTTGCTTTCCTGTTCTCAGCTACTTCCTCTCCTTGGTTTCCTTCCCATGCTTTCAGTCCTTCCCTAACTGGCCGATATTCCTCCAGCTCTCTACTTGGAGGTCTATTTCCCATTCGGGCAACGCTATTTTAAAAGATTCAGTAGAGCTGCGGTGCTCCCATGCTCAGGGTGTTCATAAATCAGAGCAGCCACACGATCTTTTGTTATAACCCTTGACAGGCCTTCCAACCCTGGACGGTTATTGTAAGACAGAGGAGAAGCACACAAGCTGCAAGGCATGCCTTAAAAATCAAGAGCACTTCAAGACAGGGGTATCCTCCTTGTCATCCTCTTTATATTGTAATATAGAACAGGCTTGTGTAAACCAACCCCCCTTCTACTCCTCTTTCATTAGCAACTATAAGC